ATAATTTAGCACAAATAAACGTCATTATGTTCTCCAAACAAAGTTTGAGAACATATTGTTTTTACTTTCTATTTTCAAAATTTCTTCTCCGGTACTTTTTTGGCCACGAGTGTTCTTGAAAACTGCTCATCCAATTGAGATGAAATCTTCTTAAGATTAATAGGCATGTTGTGTAGATGTGCTGAACGAAGGTCATTTTGCGCGAACATGCATGCACGTGTGGGCGCGTGCAATGACTGAAATGACTGATATACTTGATATAGTCATAACTTTTATTATGTCGTCCCGAACGAAGTCGTGCGGCGTATTGCTATTGTACGCCAAAAAACTTTGTCCGAGGATGTTTTCGCAGATGGCTGGAACAATCTTCTTTAAACTTTCTACAAAAGGTGATTACTAGTTGTACTTGTGCAGTGAAAACTTTCAGTTTCAAAATGGCTATCGTTGCCATGGAAACGTACGAAAAATGAAGAATTTTGTCAGGGAGTGTACTCACTGATCCCTTGAACATTCATCATGAAACTTTACCGAAATGATGATCAGTAATTGTAGGAATTGTAGTTGTGCGATTCACATTCAAAATTTTCAAATTGCAAACCGTTGCCTCGGAAACAGAGGAAAAGTGAAAATTCTTTAACTTCGATTTTCTCAGTAGCTGCTCAAGCAATCATTTTGAAACTTTAAAGGATGATTCCTGGCATTAGATTTATATTGTTTAAAGTAACCTGGATTTGGCCGCACACAGTTACCATAGAAACAAAACGAAAAAAAGGTATTATGCTCATATATGTTCTCAGAGTCGACTCGGACAATCTTGATGAAAATTTGCAGAAAATATAATTAGAAACTCTAGATGTGCAGTCAATATTCAAATTTTTTGCAAATTCCTACCGTTGTAATGGAAACGGACAAAAAGAAAAAATTCCTTAATTTCTATTTTTCTCAATAAGTACGCAAGCAATCTTTTGGAAACTTTAAAGGTTTATTCCTTCTACTGTATCAAAGTGGTTTCCGCAAAAACATGGATTCCATTGCAGTAGGTCTATCTGTTCAGCCACCTGAACGAAGTCGTATTTTGGTTCACCTTATTTTGTACTCGAGTGTTCTCGTAGATTGCTTTCACAATCTTCATGAAACTTTACAGAAATAAAAATCACCAACCCTAGTTGTGCATCTAATATTTTATTTTTTCAAAGTTTGTCGCTGATGCCAGGTAAGGAACAAATGATTTAAGAAAAAACTCGATCAAGTGACCATGGTATGCTATCAGAAGTTTCTTTGAAAAAAAATCATTTTTGTACGTTTTCCTCCGACATTTGTGTTATTATAAGTTATTGACAAACAAGTTGATGAAACAAGAATATCAGCAATCTCGTTTAAAGTCATCATTTCGTAAGGTCGATACAATGACCTTGTCAGCAAAAACAATCTATCATTTAGTCAAATATTGACTGACTTTTTTCATACTTATTGTTAGGCTATTATTTACACACTGAATTTCGACGGATTTTTCTGTTATATCCCGATCAAGACAAGGAGCACACGGCGGGTGTGACCGGTCGGCAGGGGATGCTCACTCTTCCATGGCACCTGATCCCACCTCTGATGTTTTAGAGGTCCGTGTTTGCTCCTATTTTGTAGTGCTTATTGGACCTTTGAGCTCGAATACTGTTCGTTATCTCCACATATTTCATTGAATATATTTTTGTGAGATTTAAAGAGCTATAAGTTATCAACAGATTTAATACACATATTTGTGTGTTCTTAGTACGGATGTCCGAAAACGTTGTACATACGATTATTTCTTTTTTTTTTTTTTTTTTTTTTTTTTTTTTTTTTTTTATCAAACCATGTTAATAACGTTATGTTTATTATCTATATCGAAGTTGTCAAGTTACAGTAACTGTACTATGGTATTGCATATTTGTTATGAGTGCAGAATAAACCTCTTTGATGAAAAAAATGACTATTTGTTTATTTCTAACCTGTTAAACACTACAAATTATTCATTTTTATTTTCACTTATATTCGTCAGAACTGTTGATTTAGTGTGAGTTAACTGAGTTGACACGGAGTATTTTGTGTGATAAATAAACCTTCCGATGGAGGTAAAGTGAACAGAAAACCTTCTAGATGCCATTGCAAGAAGTTTATAGAAAAACATCCGGTTGTATAGCGTTAAGTTTTCTCTTTCTAAACGATTAATAAAATAAATTTAAGTTTACTTAAATTTTTTTATTGTTATCAATAAATGTCCTCCTTGAATGTTCAAGTCTGAAATATTGTATAGTGATGTATTATAATGGTCATTTTGTTTCGTGTCTTAGAAGAGTCAGAGATTGACCAATCAAATTCAAACAATTAAAATTCCGGCCACGCGGTGCGTCACTCTGCCTCTTCTCCCACCTACAGCCTTGGAGGACTGACTTTTTTTTTTCAAATTTGTTATTTATTTTATCAAGTATTTGGAGAGTAAAATTATTTATCATATCTTCAATGGGCAAAACTTCGGTTGTCATTCTTGATCATTCAATCGTGCGTCGTTTTCACGAACTCTTAAAACATGGTGATGACATTAGATATTCTGCAAATCTTGGTCTGGGAAAAACGCATTCCGTTTTGTACAGGGGTGTGGGTGGAAGGAAGGTTCGTGGTATAATATCTAAGGATATGGAGAGTGTATTTGCTTTAGGTCCCGAGGTAGTTGTTCTAATGATCGGGGAGAACGACATCGTTCCCAGTACAGATCCTACATCGTTGGCCGCGGAAATTGAAACTGTGGTATCGGTGATGCATCGCCGCTATAATGTTGCGAAATTAATTGTTTGCAAATTATTGCCAAGACTTAAGGTTAATTTTGCGTACAATGTTGTAGCAGACAGAGTGAATGCAATATTGATAGGTGCATTGCCATCATTGGGTTATTGTGTGTTTTGGGAACACGGAAATTATTTTGTTTCTCCCCGTGAAGGAGATTGTAGTCGGAAATTTGTACGGAGTTCATCTGAACAAACAAGGGAATGTATATTTATATAGGAGTATATTGAGAGCATTATTTTCAGCGAGAAAATAGATTTTCTAGAAAATGAAACAAGATTGTCACTTTTATCCTTTGTTCAAAATCATTTGGATATGGTACATGTAACAAGCTTAAATTTTGCAGTTTTTGTAAATTAATTATTTATTAAAAAAAAAAAGAAAAGAAAAGAAAGAAAGAAAAATTTAACTCTGCTTATCAGATATTGGCTTGCCAATCATTGCCTTTTTTTCATTTTAATTTCAACCTTTAAGTGACGTTTTTCTCCAATATTTTTTTGTTGGTTTTGAGTAATGCTTTATTTTCACTGATGTGTTAGTTTTAGTTACATGCATAAACATCTGGGTTCTGATAATTTCATGTTGTATCATTCAAAAATAAACAAGAAGAGGGTTTTGAGGAAATCCAAATATTTATCAATCACCATGCAATCCTGCCTGTCAAAACTATTATCTCCGCACAACAAATCCTCCACAATCCAAGAGTCGGTAGTCCAATCCCAGCAATTGGACCAGTGTTTAAGTTTCTTTTCCGAAATCCCAAAGCAGTACACTTTAAGACCATTTCTAATGAAGCCAATTATTATGGCAGACTTTCTAGGTTTTTTTATGAGATGCTTTTCAACTGAAAACATAAAGATATATTAGTAGTGTAGAAAAGATGACGCGGTCAAATTAGCATGAACTCACGCGCATGTAGATGCGTTTCGCTCTGATTGGCTGAAACAGAATCTTCCATATCTTCCTTGTTTTTTGACAAAATCCTTTGAAATTAAAGATGTAGGTAAACATTATAAGGTTCTACAATATGTTATATTCAGAAATTCTTGAAAACACGCGCATGCATGTGTTCTGCAATTTGATTAGCTATAACTTTTTTAGTTTTCAACAAAACAGAATGAAATTTAGAATATGAATAGGTATAATATGTTCCTACATTATGCTACTATCAAAATTGAATGCATGTACATGTGCTAACTCTGATTGGCTTATACTTTAAAGGTTGTATCTCTCTTACTATTAAATAGAATTCATTGAAAGGATGACTGCACTTAAGGACGTGCAAAAACAAGCATTTTCTTTTCATTGCAAGAATGGTCAACATCATCTAACCTACAACTTTATGTAATTACCTTTGATAAAAGTGTGTATTTACGAAGTTCGAATCTGTTTTCAAAGGCAGGGGTCATCACTATTTCTTGAATCTCCGTTCGATAATGAGAACGCCCACTTTTTTACTGACTTCATATATAGTCAGCGCATGTTTGTCTATTGTTCTCCTATTAACAGTAGCTGTATATTTGCATTACTAATGTTGTGTCAAACGGAGATTAATAGTCAAACGTGCACTCATTGTTAAAAAGAGAAAAAACTGTTTTTTCTTACATTCACTGTCTGTGTTGTAACCAAGGGTTGTGACATGTTGAATATTATAATTCACCACGTGATTTCTTACCTCAGGTGACTTTGTGAATACTAAATTCCCTAACGTGACTTGTAAGGTAGCATGTTTTCTGTTTCTGCTAACTAGGACATTGTGTTCAAACACGTTAAGTCATCTGGCATTGATATAAAATCTGCTTTAATTTCATAGACGTGAACTAATAAACTTCACCCTTAAGGGAAGTGTACTTCCAAATAGAAATTCTTACTCAAGTAAAGAAAAATGGAAGTTTATTCACAATATAACTGAATAAACGTTTGTATCTCAATATAAATGCACCAAAATAATGCTTGTTAGTACTTTACATGTTATGAAAAATTTACATGAAGTTGTCATTGCACAGTTAGCAAGTAGTACAGGACGTAAAGTGTGCGCAGTTAGTTGAATCCGCCGGATGCCTCATATGGAATAAACTGTGATCAGCCGAAGCCGATCACAAAAATCAAGCAATATGATCTTGATGGCATATAATACCGGGTAATTATGAAATATAAAATGAATATTTTTAGTTCAGTAGGATTTAAAAGCACTTTCTATGCACAATAGAACAACCAGATTCCTTATACTCTTGCTTGCTGATCCACATCGTTTGGAAAGTGGAGAGGGAAGCAAGTATAGAACCACCGATCCAGACGGAGTATTTCCTCTCAGGTGGAGCAATGATCTTAATTGTCGTTTCTTGAGGAGCCAATTTTGTCATTTCTTTCTTCATACGGTCAGCGATGCCTGGGTACATTGTTGAACCCCCAGACAAGACTGTATTTGCGTACAAGTCGTTAATAATATCAGAGTCACATTTACTGATGCTGTTGTTTACGATTTCTGGAAGACCAAAAGATTCCATTCCAAGGAAAGATGGCTGGAATATGGCTTCCGGACACCGGAATCGCTCGTTGCCAATAGTGATGACCTGGCCGTCAGGGAGCTCGTAGGCCTTCTCCAGGGATGACGTTGACGCAGCTGTTTGCATTTCTTGTTCAAAGTTAAGTGTAACGTAACACAATTTTTCTTTAATGTCTCTGACGATTTCTCTCTCAGCTGTGGTCGTGAAAGAGTAACCTCGTTCTGTTAGAATTTTCATAAGATAATCGGTCAGATCCCGTCCAGCAAGATCCAATCTCATGGTGGCATGTTGAAGGGCGTAGCCCCCATAAATGGGTACTGTGTGTGTGACACCATCTCCAGAGTCGAGTACAATTCCAGTTGTACGACCGGAAGAGTACAAGGATAGTACGGCCTGTATTGCAATGTACACGGCGGGAGAATTGAAGGTTTCAAACATGATTTCTGTCATCTTTTCTCTGTTGGCCTTTGGATTTCGAGGGGGCTCGGTCAAAAGAACAGAATGTTCCTCTGGTGCTACGCGGAGTTCATTATAGAAAGTATGATGCCAGATCTTCTCCATATCGTCCCAGTTGGTTATAATACCATGTTCAATGGGATATTTAAGGGTTAGAATACCTCTCTTGCTTTGGGCCTCGTCCCCGACAAAGGTCTCCTGAGGCGTCTCAACCATAACACCCTGAAAAGTCCAAATTAAAAACTACTGCAAGTCCAATGAAGTCATTTGTAGAAAAAGTATTTCTTTTAGATATTTGCTTCTTCTTAAGACGTAATAATTAATAGTCTAAAATTCAGCAATCTACATTTTAAGGATTTGAGATTTAATTTTTTTGTACAACACATGTACTCTCTCTCCCCAAAATTCCTGTCGCGTTATTTATGTTATTTTTGTATATTTTATACAAGACTATATCTACTATGTGTATGTGCATCTTGGACAAAATCGTTTGACTTGGACTGAAAGTTAAAAAAGGATACTTCCCATTGGCTGATAACGAGGAAATTTTCAACCGACTAACTATATTATCCTTGACTTTCAAAAAAAGTCAGGTTAAATGTCAAATTTCAATGTTTCATTCTTTTAGCAATATAACACACAAAATAGTACTGTACAGGTGCACATTGACAAAACAATTTTGAAGAACTTCAACTGAAAAACTATGAGTCAATTTATCCTTGAAAAATATGTGGTTTTTTTAATTTTAATATTTTTTTAATGAAAAAAAAAAATCTTTTAATTTTGAAAAAAAATACTTTCCTTATGTCTCAGCTTGCCAAACAATTTTAATATTTTCTTATCTGTTTGCCCGATTGGCGCAGTCGTTAGATCGTTTGCTCTAGAGTCTCGGAGTAAGGAAGTGATTCTTACATCTCGAGTTCGAATATTTAATCCAACTGCGGGACTTAGAGATCGGTCCTTCGGATGAGACCTTTTAAACCGTGGTCCCGTGTCACAGTAGGTGCTGACACAAAAAGATCTTTTACTCAATTCTCAAAGGGGCGTTAAATGAACAAACAAACAGAAGTAATCTGTTATAAACAACCCGTGTTGAATTTGTAGCGGAAAATTGTCCCTAAGCACAACGTCTTCAAAGGGGCGAAAATTAATGCTATGAGTCTACAAATACGCATAAAAAGTTCTAAAAATGGAAAATATCTTGAGCTTTTAATATGCAATCAACATTATTGTTTATGTTAAACTCATAACCTCAAGTGCATTTAAATATATATGTATAGGCAACTTCTGAAATTTTAAGACTCCTCTCTTCTCTAGAAACACAATTTATTCGAGCTTGTTGACACATCGGTTACATTTGCAGATATCTTGTCTATTTAAACACTAAAGTACTGACTGGTTTATTCATGCCTTGTTCATATGTGCAAGGTCAAATATTTACTACTAGTATATTTTTAATTTAGTAATCCTCAATTTCAAAGGATTTTATGTCCATGTGTCCAGTTTGTAGTCCATACACTTGCACTCATATCAGTACCTATATATGAATTCGACTTGCTTTGCATTTGAAAATTACCATTTCTTTTTAAAAGGTGCATGTACGAAACCTCCTGATTCAAATGAAATATTTACATTTTCTTAAAGTAGTCTGATCCTCAGATTCTGAAAATCAGCAGTTAAGTAATTGAAATTGCTTACAAAAATGTCTATAAATTCACAAAATAATGTTTATTTACCTATGGTTTTTGCATTTTAAAAATACATATACACTTTTTTAGTTTTTTATTGTTAAATAATACATGGTGTTAAAAGCTTGTGCCATCATTACAAGATTTTACAGATCACTTCTAATCTCATATTATGCTAATAAAGCATCAGTATCTAAAGCTAACTTAACGGAAAACCGATTTCGCTAAATATGTTTTAATTTGTTATTTTATGAGGAAGAAAAGTCAATTTTTACAAGACCTTTTCTAAGACTTCAGAAAACCCTGAGTCATTTTGATATGAAATTGATAATGAAATTGTTGTATGAATATATTTTAATTTCACGCTTCATTTTGAAATTTTTTAATTGGAAAGTAAATTTAAGAATTATCAGTCCTTGCTGAGCAGCCGATAATTTCATTTATTTTAAACAAGTGGTATCCCCACCCCGACCCCACCCCGATATTATATGCATCCCTCTATTTTTTTCTATAGAGATGAAAATACCCGTTTTTTCTTATTTACTTCATTGTATCAAACTGAAAATATTTCATCTAATCTTAAATTATTCATGTGCCTGAATATTCATATACAGAGGTATCAAACGTTTTGTTTTCATTCAAGAGAATGCGAACTGAAACCGTTTGTAGTAAAATAATGTCAGACCAGTTTGCTGCAATGAGATACTGTTTTCAGTTAATTTCAGTAAACAATTTTTATTCCCTTTCAATACTTACTTTGCCTATATAATTGTTTTCAGTTCTTGTAGTCATCAGAAATCACAGTAAATGCATCCGTGTATTTGTGAATTTTTCCCTGCTTATGGAACGGAGGGGGTCTAATGCAATTATGCAAATAATCAAGGATATGATTTAGTATTCATAAAAAAGCCTAAATCAAAGCCTACATTCCCATTTTTCTTTTTTATATATCGGGATCCTATCGGTCGTCATATTCATGCGTTATTATTTACTGTCAAATCTAACTTCACATTAAACGTTTAATTGACATCTCCTCAAATGTGTTGTGCATCCTTAAGCTGAGAGAGTTTACATTTAATTGCACACTAGCTAAAAAAAAGTATATCAGCAAGAATGCATACATAATTGGTTCATAATTTCCTCTAATCAAATTCATGCAAATTGCTTGAACAATAGATGATCGGAAATTGCTTAGTACATATTAAATTGTTTAGAATGCATTCGTCCAATTTGAATAATTATTATTGTGGATGATATTTGCATTGATTTAATTGTATTTATTTTATTTGAGGGTGAATTTTACTTTACAATATGACACGTCCTAATTAAGGTCTTCCGTTTCCAACGGAAGACCTTCTACTGATTCTGATGGTTAAGATTATTAAGGTCTTTCGTTCCAACGGAAGACCTTCTACTGATTCTGATGGTTAAGATTATTATTCTTTTTTTTTTCTTCTTTTTCCTAGACGCCCACTTTGAGACCTCATATCTTGCTCATTTCTCAACGGATTTTGCTCACATTTGCAGAGTTTATAAACGTTACAAACCTCTATCAGAATGCTGTCAAATAGTTCAAAAAGTCACTTCCACTTTTGAATTATTTCCCTTTAAATGAAAATTTAGGAGGCTTCAATTCCAGACAAAGGCTCCGAGACTACAAAAGCGAGAGCAGAAATTCTACCGATTTTAAATAATAGAAGGATTGAAGTTGTGCACATCGGTTTTTGTTTTTCGATTTCTGTATTCAAAATGGCGCTATATAGGGGTCAAAATTTAGAACGCCTAAAAGAGCGAAAATTTAGACATATTTTCCTTTGTATCTTAAAAACTAAAAATATTTTGATAAGACATGTAGAATAAAAGTTGTGCACAATTTCAAGGCCTTTAATTTGACACCACTAAAATGGGGCTGGCCCCTCAAATAAGGGATCTGGAGCCCTTTAAAGTTTTTGCTTTATAACTCAAAAACGGTAAATATTTCGAAATGGCTGTCGTAAAAAAAGTTGTTCTTTAACATCTTATTGATCACATGAAAATGTAATTCTGTTCGAGTCTTGTGTTTTAAATGCGCCAGAAGTTTGACCCATATACAGGTAACTGTTCTCATTCAGCAAGTGAACGAGAGCTCTTCATGCGTGTAACTAAAATAAACTTACTAAAAATAATAAATCTGGCTACATTAGATGCTAATATTCTTTAGAATAAGGTTCTTGAAGTGTTTTGTGCTTTATTTCCAAGTTATTTTTTGACAACTTTTCCTTTTATTTCATTTTTTCAAAGTCGAATATACCAGTCTACTTAAAAAAAAAAAGGGAAAAAGATAACCTTTTCTTCTTATCATATAAAAACAAACAATATAGTGAGAAAATAAAACATAACTTTGAAGTGCACGCCTTTTACATTCACCTTGTGTGTTTACAATTATGTAACACCTCCCTCGATAGCGCGTGGCAAAGGAGGTCATCGGGGATCAATCGGCGTGTGATCCAGCGACATAGTCATACACAAAACAAATCATAGAATGGCCATTCCAAATTCATTTTGTAAACTAAGTCATGAGTGGATAGATATGTTGAATCTTTCAGATTATTTCATAATATCTTTGATTAAATCCCTAGTGCATTTTATTTAATATTTTATTCTATGAATTACAGGGAAGTTGCATAGTTATTTTTATAAACAATTTATTTCTCGATATCGAGGTAATTGTCTGTTTTATTTAAAATAAAATTCAAAATATGTTGCCTTAATTAATTCCTACTAGTAATGGAACTTTTGAAACTTAAATGTACATGTATGTAATCTAATATACGTTCTTTTGTCGACGCCCTTAAAATGTTCAACTGTATATATACATTTGCAAGAGCGCCCCAAATATACGCATATCGAGCGTTTTATACGTATACATGGAAATACAAAATCCCACATTCAGACGCGCCTCCAAAATATGTAGAATGAGACAAACTGTATTTGAATATTACAAATTTATTACACACCTAACAATGAACAAATTATTTTTTCTACTAAACTTGTTATTGTATGCGAACAAAATGATAAACATGTAATTATTTATAGGTTCCCATTATTTTTTCTGATAATCAGAACACATTTATCAGCTCTCTTAAGGTTTTACCGACACATACAATGTACACGCATGCAAGTACAGAACATGCACGTTTTATAAGTGCATATGCAAGAGCACCCCAAATATATGCATATCGAGCGTTTGAAATACAGAAAAATTCTAAATCCCGTCTTTTTTTCCCATTGTCTTTGCAATAAAATATCGACTACACTGAAATTATTTTATTGATTTACAGCATATATTAAAATGAATTATAGGTCCGCTGAGTTGATCATGAGTTGTTTTTATAACGGGTAGTCCTCCTGGCCAGTCATTGTCACGGTTTGTAACATCGTAATTACACAGGCAAATACTAAGATGTCAAACGAACAATATAATAAATCTTGAATGAATTAACTAACCCCTTCAGTACACACACATTCGCCTATACCTGAAATCTAATCAAAATC